GCCTGGCGTGAGCCCGAGGGGTCCGGGGCAGCGCCAGCGCGCGGAGGCACCCGCGGGAAGGTGTGCATTAGGGTGAAAATGGGGATGCGGAGATCCCAGGGGCGCGGTAAGGTGTCCCGGACAAAAAGAGGGAAAGGAGCTTTCCAGGCTCAGCAAAGCAAAGGTCCTGAGGCAGGAGAAGGCTGGGCCTCCATCCAGAGCCAGTAAGCTCGGTGAGAGAGAGAAGGACCTGGCCGGCTTCCAACCATGCTTGAGCTGCCAGAGTCGGGCTATCGCTACTTTTGCCCACACCGATGCCGAGGCAAGGTTCCCGCCGTGAGGTTCTTGATGCCAGTCCACCATGATGAGAACAGGAAGAGAGAACCGAGACTTGGGAGAAGAGAAGCAGAGAAGGACACTCAATTAGACGGAAGATAGAGGTTCCAGACGAGCATCCTCCAGTAGCAATGTAAGGCGAGACACAAATGTGATGTCACATGTTTAAAACCACAAAAAGAAACAGGTAAAAATGATTTGCCAGCAATGGAACATGCTATAAATTGCAGGAGTACAGCTTCACACCGCAGTCATTCCCTACCGTGACCACCAGCAAAACTCTGGTGCCGCTCACTGGATCCACTGGATCCACTCTACCAGTTCCTCCCACCCACCCCACCCACCCCTCTAAACGCCCGATTTTGTTAGTCCCAGAGTTGCTTTTGTTGTTTTCTTTGCTGTCTTCATATTCCATAGTGAAAATCATCCAGTGTCTACCCTTTGATTTCCACTTAGCATAATCATCTCAACTTTCCTCCATATTGCCACAAGAGGTAAGATTTCATCTTTCACACAGCTGACTACTTTTTTATAGGACTCCGTTGTATAGATGTACCAACCTTTACGCAGTCACATGCCAATGAGCATCTAGGTTGTTGAAGTTAATTTTAATCTGCATCATTAAGTATATCCCATCGGCAGGTAATCGGTATTTGAAAGTTGAGTCATTTTAGGTTCTTTTCCTTGTGCATGTATGTTTTGCAGTCCACTTCATATTCTGCACAGACAGCACATTCTGACTAGCCAAGTTTCAAGCTCTGCAGCAGCAGACGGTATGAGAGCACAGTTGTAGATCCTTCTAGTTACTAAAGCCTAGGTAATTCTGAATGAGTCATGTCCTTAGCTCTCCATTTGTTCATATTTTATTTTAAAGATTTATTTATTTCTGCCTGCAGAACGGGGGGACAGGCCAGAAGTGCAGGAACAGTGAGAAGATCCACCAGAGACAGAGCGGGGAGCAGAACAGGCAGATGGATGAAGTCCACTGCTGAGGGGAGCAGCGGGTGGTCAGGAGAGGCCTGCCGGGCCCTGGGGTCACTCCCTGGGCAGGGATCTCACTTGTGCTACAGCGGCTGTGTCTTGCATCATAGTGCTGCACTTTACCCCACCGTGCCACCAGGGAGGGCCCTTGTTCACATTTGAAATGCAGAGTCCAAACCAAATGTTTTTGTGTCCAGCATTGATTGATCCTCTGTGATTTTTAGTTCTTTTCTCCTCTCTCTACCCACATCTCTTTGTCTCTCTCCCATTTTCCTTTGCCCATTCCCTCTCCCCTCAACCCCAGGTCTGTTCCCTGTAAGACTTCTAAACCCTGTGTGGGGGTGGCAAAACTTCTAAGGACCAACAAGTTTCTAGCCTCTCTTGCTGTCTGGCAGAACTCTGTCCAGCAACTGCAAATTCATGGCAAATCGGGGCTGTACTTAACTGTTGCACAGGTGGATTCAGAGAAGTAACTGGCTAGTCTTTCTCTTGCCATCCTGCGCCATTTTACAGAGCTGGAGTTGTTTTATTTTTAAAGATTTATTTATTTATTCACACAGAACTGGGGTACAAGCCAGAGGTACAGGCGCGTTGAGAGGCTTCACCAGAGACAGAGTGGGGAGCAGAACAGGCCTACTGACAAAGTACACTGCTGAGGGGAGCGGAGTGGCGGGCGGGTCAGGAGAGGTCTGCCATATCATGTGGGTCACCTCTAGGGCAGGGGATGGAACAGACACTGAAGCGGCTGCGGCCAGCTTGCAGTGCTGCGCCCTAACCTGTTGCGCCACCAGAGAGGGCCCAGAGCTGGAGTTGTGGAATAGAATGTTCTAGCCTCAAATCCTGGCACAGTCTTCTATCAGTAGTATTGTTGTATTAACAGCTCTGTGCCTTCATTTCCAATCTGGAAAAATGATAATACCCCTTCAGTTTGTTGGGAGGAGGGGTGCAATAGAATCAGGGGCATAAATAAAAGCCTAATAAATGTTCTCTGTGACATGCAACCTGCCTACAACCTTGCATTTTAATGAGGCTGAGAAAGGAAGCATATTGCAGACAGTACTCCCAGGAGGCAAGGAACTTGGATGAGTGATCTTTATGTGCTGCATAACCATATAGAACTTCTTTACATCGTAACAGGCTCTGTAGTCAGTTAACTATTGTCCTTATTCTTTTTTACCTAAAGCAATGCTTTTGATATTATTAGATTCTTAGTATTTATAAATATATTAACTATTCCGCGTATCACATATTTCGGCCAAGAATTCTACTAGTAGCAGGAAAGGCAAAAAGGAAGCCTAGCAGAACTCAATTTCCCATTAACAAGAATGGAAGCCTAATGGTCCGACTGATGTCGTTTTTGGAGTTAGTGCGGGGTCCTGGGGCTCACTCTGGGAAAGGCTCTACCAGAGCTCCCTTTTCAGCGCCTTTTCACCAACTAAGTCCCTGTTCAGGATCAGAGCGAGTTCCCAAGTGAGTTTCTCCATGAGACAGAGACTCAGTTACATTTAAAGAGTAAGTTTATTAGGGAAAAGGACAGGAGTACTGGCCACTTGCATAAGCACAAGCGGGCAGGAAGAGCTGCCCCAGAGGGACAGGTTTACAGAGAGCAGCCTCTGTGAGGGGGTCAGTGCCTAGAGGTCCCGGCATGGTACAGGTCTTGGGCAGGCAGGAGGCTCTGCCCTGCAGAGGCAGAGTGGGTGGTGGTCTGGGGACCGCTGCCCTGTGTTGGTGCAAAGACTGCACTGATAGAGACATCTCTCTGAGAGGGGCTCACTCCTTGTGAGCCTGGGTTTGTTGATTTTGAATAGACTCTATAAGGGACAGGAGATCCCACAATCAGCTCCATCTCCATATTTTTATGGTTCACCTTTTGGATCTGAGCTCTAGACACCCCCTATAGCTTCTGCTACCTGCTTGGATCTTCCTCTCTGTCATCCAGGCCTTGGGGCCCAAGGACCTTGATGTCTATGGCTGTGTCAATGGCTGTGCTAATCCCTCCTGCCCAACTCCCTGTGTGGGTCAATCTTGTGATGCCACCTTTATGTGCTTTCCTCCATCACTACCAACCCTGAGGTGAGTGCTACCATCTTTCCCATTTTACAGAGCATACTGTATTTTTCCTGAGGTCACACGCTCAGTAGTAGAGCTGAAGTCTGAATGCAGGTTGCTTGCCTGCAGAATTCATACTCATGGTCATGCTGTGTCAAGGGACATCCCTCACTTCTGTGGCCCTTGTCACCTGAAAGTCACATTCTCTTTACATGTTAAGTCAGTACTGTGAGCTTCCTGAAGTCAAGAAGTTCTTGTCACGATTACAACTCCAGCATCTAGCTCTGATCCTGAACAGGGACTTAGTTGGTGAAGGTATTCCAGAAAAAGGTTATGTTCAAAGCCACGAAGGTGTGAAATAGCACGATTTATTTGAAATATAAGCAGTTAGGATTACTAACCGGAGATAGTTTCAACAACAGTTAAGTTTATCAGCTGATCAAAGTGAGGAGTATTTGACCCCAAGAGGCAGTCTGGCACTTACTTTGCAAGAACTGTCCCAATAAAAATCAGTTTGACTTTTCTTCATATCTGCAGGAAATGGGTCACTGGGGCTTCCAGCTCTAAAGATATGCCATGCACAGCGGGAAGCACACAGCATTTAATATCAGGCCTTTCTGGAGAGCAGTGTAGGGATGCAAAGGCTGGGTACCCTGGCTCCTTGGTCTTCAGTGGGGGTGAAGAGAATGGCTTTCCCACAGGGAAAGATTTGACATTGATGTTTCTGACTGCAAGTCTGTGCGGAGGGCCAGAGTCGCCTTTCAAACGACTCCGAAAGGGGTCGTTTTCCAGAACACTTTAGAGTACGCCCACGGAGTCTACTGGCATCAAGTTAAGAAGGAAAAGTACTTCTACTATGGGGAAAGAGTGAACTCATTTTTAAAGTCGATGGGGGACCCACTACTGGGGCATACCCCTCCCTTCCTGCCGTGTCACGGCTGAGGCACCACTAGAGGGACACCTGAGAAGCGGCAGAGGCCACCAAAAAGCCTGCCTGGTTATCTGCGGTTACAAAGACAGGATTTGCAAGGTGGGCAATGGGAAGTCTGTGAGACTTTAGACAGTGACGCTAAAGTCACGAGCGAAGTCGCTGACAGCAAAGCTAAACTCAGAAAAGGCCTCCTGGTTTTGACCGGTGTGCTCTCCCTACCAAACTGCGTGGCTCCGATGGAGACCTGACCGTTGTGGCGGGGACGGGCGAAGCGGCCAAGGGGCACGCGCAGCACCTTCTCAAAGTTTGGGTGACCCAGGGACCGGCCTCTCAAATCTCGCTTTCGCGAAATCCCGCTTTGAAAAGGAATTCTGTCCTGCGCCGTCTCGGTAGCGACGGGCCGTGCCTGGCCCGCTCTCGCCCGCGGCCACGCTCTGCCTCCCCCCACCCCTCCGCCCTCCCCATTGTTTCCACCCCTGCCCGCGTGCAGCGCGTGGGAAGTGTAGTCGCGCGCCCAGCGCACCGAGCCGGGGGGCGGCCCTATAAACTCGGTACCTCCACTTAAGTCAAGATTGCCCAGAGGAGGGATCAAGTCTGGGAGGCCCGGCCCGCTCATCCGAGGAGCCACCTGGGACTTGCAGCTTCCAGGGCCCGCAGCCCGGGCTGCAGGGAGACGGCTCCGGGACTCGGGTGCCCCAGCCGCGCGCCTCCTGATGACGTCTCACGGAGCCACGAGGCTCCTGGGATACGCGGTAGTTCTCGAGGCGCCGTCTCCGCCTTGCTGCCGCTACTCGAGGACTACACTTCCCAGGGATCTGCGCGGCGGCGTCCGGAGAGCCGCGCGAGCCCGTGATTGGTTGGTGAGCCGGCCGCACGCGGAGGAGCCCAAAGAGCAGCTCTGTTGCGACAGAGGCCGAGCGGCGAGGCCCAGTGAGTTGGGGGAAGGGGCGCTGGGGGGAGGGAGCCGGCCGGTGAGGGGGGAGGGAAGACGAGATGAAGGAGGAGGGACGGGGTCGGGATGGAGGAGGCTGCGAGGGGCGAGAAAGGGCCCAGGGAGAGACGCTGACGCGCGCGGGGTGGGGGAGGTCGGGGGCGGGGGGGGGCGAGGGAGAAGACCCCGAGGGGACTCACCCCGGGGAAGGCGAGCGCGTCCCGGGAGAAGCTGGGCCGGCCTCGGTGCGGAGGGGGAGGACCTGGACGGGGTCCCAGGCAGAGGCTGGAAGAAGCCCGGGAAAGTGGGGAAAGTGAAGCGGCAGCTGAGCGCGGAGGGCCAAGTTGTGGGGTGACCGTAGACGGGGACCTCCTCCCCGGAGCAGCGCCAGGTCCCTAGCCGGAGGCGCGAGAGGAGGAGCGTTCCAGAGTGAGGCAGTCCGTGGGGATTGGTGGCCAAAGCCCGGAGGAAGACGATCCGATCCCGAGAGTGGCCAAGGCTCAAACTCGGGGCTGGGAGACCCGGACAAAGTTGCCAGTTGACTAGGCGGAGGCGGAGCTGGGAGCCAGGGCCTGGGTAGGAAATTCTGAGAGGGGTGCACAGCCCGTGCGCCACTCCTGCCGCCAGTTTAGGATTCTGGGATGTTTGCCTTCATCAGGCTCCCTGAAGGACCCTAACCCACCCCTGTGGTTCGTCACCATGCCCTCCGACCTGGCCAAGAAGAAGGCCGCCAAAAAGAAGGAAGCTGCCAAAGCACGACAGCGCCCCAGAAAGGGGCATGAGGAAAACGGAGATGCTGTCCCAGAACCACAGGTGGCAGAGGAGAAAAATGAGGAAGCCAATGGCAGAGAGACCACAGGTGAATCAAGGGGGGCTGTCAGACTGGCGCTGCCCCTTGACGGCTGCCCAGCCAGACACAGACACTTGACCCCGGGGGCGGTGGCAAACCAGTAGAGTTGGAACTGGCCCCTCCTGTTCTTGCTCAAGGAAACTGAACGCAGGGTTCATCAGGCTTTGGGGGAAGCATCCGTGGGAGCTGAGCGACGGCAGCTCCCCTTCCTGGACTGTGAGGGGGCCAGCTCCCTGCCTCTTCATTCCAGCGTCAGCCCATGGGGCCCGGATACCATGCCCTCTGCCTCCTTACACCCTTGTTCGCCCAAGAGTATACCAACCAGAGAGAAACTTACGAATTGTTTTATGGGGGCTTTCCTGGGGAACAGCTGCCTTTCTGTTATTTATATTTTGGTAAATGTGCTCACCAAGCAGCTCTCAAGAGGTAGATAAAGTAACTTACTCAGACACTCTAAAAGCAGCCTACCCTCAGCATCTTCTCACCTTAGGGTCTCGATGGGGAAACACAGCGCGCACAGCGCGTGATTAAGACTGTTTAGGCCCTTTGTAATCTACTCTAGCCTTCTCTGCACAGCAGAAGCTCCCGAGACAGACTTGCTCCATCCAGACTAGTAGTGTCTTTTGAATAGCCACGTGTCCATGCTTTTACACACTTAAGTTTTAATACCACGCTTAATAACTAACTACATTTGACATTTCTTCAAGGCCCACCCAGCTCCAGCTAGCAAAACCTTTCCTAGTCAAATATTTCCAGTCACTGCCTTATAATGTTACCACTTTCTATTTTCTATACCTCAGGCTAGCTTACATGTTACAATTTCCTTATGTTTTCTGTTACTTTATTTACATTGTTTGATCTTTGAGTATAGTCTTTTTTGTATGATTAGTCTTGCAGAAAGAGATACAAAGTAAATATTTGAGGAGGAAAGAACTAAAGTGAAGTATAAGAATTCAGAAAAAGATGAGAGGAAAGGGTTGAGTGGTAGAAATTGTCTCCAAAATAAGGAATCTTGGAGAAAATTGTGTAGTAAAGTCATTTGTGGAGAAGCATTGTTCCTGGCCAGAGGAGTGAAGGATAGAAATTAAGAATGATTTAAGGACCGGGCTAAGTGTGGACTCTGCAGTAGAGAATTGGGTGGCCACAAAAACTGGTTAAAACAATAGAGATGGGCCCTCCCTGGCGGCGCAGGGGTCAAAGCGCAGCACTAGTTGGATCCCCGCCAGGGAGCGACCCACAGGGTGCAGCAGACCGCTCCTGTCTCCTGCTGCTCCCCTCAGCAGTGTGTTTCAGTAGCTCTGCCTGCTCTGCTCCTTGCTGTCTCACGTGAATTCTCTTCACCCCCCATACCTCTGGCCTGTACCCCAGTTCTTATATGCATAATTAAGTCTTAAAAAAACAAACAAACAAACAAAAAGCAGTAGTGATCATGAGCTCTGCAGTTAGTTTCCGGAACTGGCAAGGCAGGTCATGGACACTGTCACTGTTCAGTTACACACTTTGTTGACCTTCCCCCCAGGAAAGCAGAATTTTCCAAGGAACCCAGCTGGATTCCCTAGGTCAGTAATAGGAGTTTTTTTTCATCCCACCTCCTCAGGGAACTGCTGTTCTGAACTTTGTTTTCTTTCAAGCCCTCTCAAAGGACTGTTATTGCTGAGGGCCGGGCAATAACCAGGGACATTCCTGCTTTCGAGATTGGTGGGTCACCAGCCCCTTCCCCCAGGAGGCCCCCACTTGCCTCTGAGTTTGGGGCCACTGCCACTTGAGGTCGCCGTTCATTAGGTTGCGATCGCCAGATGGCCTTCCTGAGTTAGTGAGGGATGGTAAGCTCTGGATGAGTATGAGAGAAAGAGACCTCTGACCGCCGGTTCAGTCTTTAGAATGAGACTCGGGATGGCACTGAGGTTCAGCTGCTTCTTCTGTTAGGGGACTTTTTGTGAACTCTACAATATTCTGCCAGATGAAGGCTATTTCAGAAGTTGTTCTTCATTTCATGCTGTTCATCTGTCTTTTTGGATCTGTTTTCTCAGATGTCGCAAGCAGGGACAGTGAGGTCCATTTTAAAGCTCAGGAGATGACTTAGGTCAAACTGGAAGAGTCAAGAGAAAAGGATTTTCCCTCGATTTGACGCACCCCTCCCTGAGCAGTGGAGATGTAGACCAGGGCCGGAGACCCTCGAGTAGGCGAGGCCTGTGGGCTGGGGCGGCCCTTCACTCTGCCCTTGTGAGGGGGAGCTGCAGCAGAGGACACATAGTGGTGCCATGACGAGCACCCCAGTGAAACCTGATTTACGGAAGCCCGCAGTTGGCCAGTCAGGCCGCTCTTTTATCCACCCCCCCCCACACACAGCAGCTCAGGGTCATTTTCACATTTTCCAAGAGGCTATACACACCTGCTGCTCTAGATCATAAACTTCTCTCTACTTGTTCTTCCCAGGATATAGGACAGGGGTTGGCACAAAGCTGTATTGCAGAAAACCTGTTCACTTAGTCACGCGGCAAACAGGCTTTAAATTCCTTCTTTCGGTCAAACTAAAACCCTGGATCTAGTACCCTCAGCACGCCACCACAGTGCGTGGCTCCTGAGCGGAGCCGGCCTCCCTGCGGCCTGGGGACTTCTCCGCGGCGGGCGCAGCGCCTCACAGGCCCGGAGGTTCGGCAGCAGGTGGGCAAGGGTGCCAGGTCTGGTCTGATGGGGGTCCCGGGGCAGCCGATCCTCCCAGAAGTGCAAGCCTGTTCCAGTCCTCCTCAGAAGGCGAACAGGTCACTGCATTGTGAAGAAACTTAACCCAGGACTCTGCCTGCCCTTCCAGTGCCGTTTCCGGCCAGACGCCGAGGGCCGCCGTCCCTTCCTTGGACAGTGGTGTAGCCGGACGGGGCTCGGCTTCACATGCTGGTGCTGTCCCTTCCTCGCCTTTTTGACTTTGGCTGCGATGGTGTTGCTTAGCCTCTTCATTTGTGACGTGATTACAGGCACGCCTCTCCGCGGCTGCGAGGACTGGGGGGGGGGGGTATGAGGGCGCAGCCTGCCGTCGGGCCCGGATGAGCGCTGATGTGCCAGGTCACATGGGCTTTGAGGGCACTCAGGCTTCCCAGTCCGTAGAGGTGGCGTCGTGCCTGGAAAGGCAGAGGTACGCCAGCGATGGTCTCTGCCTCTCCCAGGCCTCGTGCGAGCTTGGGGTTCTCTGGCCGGCCCTGCCGTGTCGCTCCTGCTGCGCGCTCTTTCTGGTCCTTCCCGGCCAGCGTGGCTTCTCGGGTCGTGCAGCAGAGGCTGCCTGCCGCGCTGTCTGCTTTCCTTTCTTGTGGGCGTTGGGACTCATCCTTCACTACACACGCGTGGAGGACAACTAGAAGCCCCCAGTCCCTTCGTGGCACGCGCCACCTAAATACAAAAGTTAGGATGGAAAACATATCAACAGAAGTGTCCAAGAAAGGCACCGGGCAGATCTGCCCGCAGGCTCCCCGTAAATCTGCTCGGCGCTCCTCTGGCGGCGTCAGCCCCTCCGGGTTCAGATGCGGTAACCTGAGGAGGGGGCAAAGCCATGACGGTCTGAACTGGGGCTTGAGCCCTGGGCCCCGAGGTTCAGACTGACCCCTACAGACAGTGCCCGGACGCTGAGACTCCCACTCTGCAGACCGAGCCTGTCTTCCGGCCTTCTTCCCACGCTTTCTCTTCTGTCCCTAGAAGTGGATTTGCTGACCAAGGAGCTGGAGGACTTTGAGATGAAGAAAGCTGCTGCTCGAGCGGTCACCGGCGTCCTCGCCTCTCACCCCAACAGTACTGACGCCCACATTATCAACCTCTCCCTCACCTTTCACGGGCAGGAGCTTCTCAGTGACACCAAACTGGAGCTAAACTCAGGCCGGCGGTACGGCCTCATCGGCCTGAACGGGATTGGTGAGGCCCTGGGGAGCCGGGGGGAGGTCGCCCCTTGGCACAGCCAACACTCGGTGCCCGCTGGGTACACTGTGAGACGTCTCCAGTGTGGTGGGCGGCCAGCTGTGCCCAGGAGCAGGCACTGGCAGTGGTAAGGTCCATGTGCGTGGCCAGGCAGCAGAGAGGTGGTGTCAGAGGGGAACAGGCTTTCCAGAGGAGAGCTGGGGCGAGGGAAGTTGGCAAGGTGTCCTGGCAGGTCTGTGTGCCGCGGGGTTAGCAGGACTTAAATGGGGCAGGAAGGAGGTGCTGGGGAGAAGGGCGAGCGTGTGGCGTGACTGGGGCAGAGGAGACGTGCTCAGCGCGCCCCCTTCGCCGCCCTCAGGAAAGTCCATGCTGCTGTCTGCTGTTGGGAAGCGTGAGGTGCCCATCCCCGAGCACATAGACATCTACCACCTGACGCGGGAGATGCCCCCCAGCGACAAGACGCCCTTGCAGTGCGTGATGGAAGTGGACACAGAGCGGGCCATGCTGGAGAGGGAGGCCGAGCGGCTGGCTCACGAAGACGGTAGGCTGCGGACCGGGGCGTCGCTGGGCTCCCTGCAGCTGGCCCGGGGACCTCACCGCCTGCTCTGCCCACAGCCGAGTGTGAGAAGCTCATGGAGCTCTACGAGCGGCTGGAGGAGCTGGACGCCGACAAGGCGGAGGTGCGGGCCTCGCGGATCCTGCACGGCCTGGGCTTCACGCCCGCCATGCAGCGCAAGAAGCTCAAAGACTTCAGTGGGGGCTGGCGCATGAGGGTGGCCCTGGCCAGGTGAGTCCTCCCTCCTGCACCCCCGGGGGCGCCCTGTCCTCAGGATGGCCACTCGCTGCGGGAGGGCTGAGGAGGACATGACGGGGTATGAAGTGCGGTCGAGCAGGCCCCGACCCAAGTGGTTACGGGCGCCTGTTGCCGCTTCAGTGCTGGTCTGGGCTGGGGGCAGTGAGGTGGCGGCACAGGTGCAACCCGACCCCTGCGCCCCCTCTGGGGCTCCCCTCCTTCTAATAAAGGCAGAGCGCGAGACAGACGTGGGGTAGCTGTCCTCCTTCCCGCTTGTGAGTGGGGCCACCACAGGCTGTCCCCAGAAAAGCCTGACTTCTGGGGTTCCTCAAGCCCACCCCCGCTCTCGCCAGGTGTGTGGCAAGGCCGCCCGCGTGACCTGGACTCGGGAGCAGGGGCGGCTGCCGGCAGGCTTTCAGCCCCCTGGAGCTGCTCCCGGGCCAGCTCTGGCCTTGCCCGCAGACCTGTGCAGCCAGGACGCTGGTGCTCGGGGCCCAGCAATCTTATTTCTAGAAAGCTCTGCAGCCATGATGCTTGCGCGTCCAGAAACCAGTGCTGTCCCCTTGCGTGTCCAGTTTTACTTAACACCATGCTTCGCTCCTGCCAGAGCTGGCAGCTCACCAGCTAGTCCAGCCGGGTGCTTTGCACACCAGCAGTTTGTCCCCTCCGATCCCGATTGCCCCACAGCTACCACATGGCCCTGTGGGCCACTGGCCGCCCCACGAGCACTGTCACAGCCGCGCCCTGACGCGCCCTGCCCTAGCCCTGGCACCTGCGCTCTGCGGAGGGTCCCCCCAGCCCCCCCAGTGGTTGGCTCCGCCAGGGAGGTGCAGGCGGCCTTGTGCCGCCCCGCCTGGGGCTCCTCACCGGGCTCCGGCTCCCTCCCGTCCTCAGAGCCCTCTTCATCCGGCCCTTCATGCTGCTCCTGGACGAGCCCACCAACCACTTGGACCTCGACGCGTGCGTGTGGCTGGAGGAGGAACTGAAGACGTAAGGGGGGCGATGGGGGGGCCGGGCTGGGGCTGAGCAGAGTCTGAAAGGAGGGAGGTCCGGAAGGCCGCGGCCAGCGTCGCTGCGGTCTGCGCCCACAGGGCTTTTGCTTGGTCTCAGGTGACCGAGCGGTTTTTATTTTTACTTTCAACTGCTTTGGCTTTCCCACTTCAAGCATGGCATCTAATCGAGGGCAGTGTTTTTTCACTTTTTCTGCCCATCATGGAGAGGGGGAGCCGTGTAAGCCACGGTGCAGTGACGGGGCGGGGGAATGATCCAGCTTGGAGATGGCCTTGGGGTTTCGGGCCACTTCCAAAGGCCTGCGGGGAGTCGCCTGTGACTTGGATGGGCGGTGGCTTTCACTGGCCTGTCCCAGCCCGCCCCCCTCCTAGATGGGCCGGTGAGTGTGCTTTTACACTCACTGCGATGCCCACTCCCTCCCTCTGGAAATGAGAACAGAAGGTTGAGGAAACTCAGCCTGTCGCCCCCCACCCCGTGATGCCCCGCAGTGTCCTTGGGGAGGGCACGTGGCTGTGCTGCTGAGAGCGGGGACTGGCCAGCAGCCCCCACGGGCTTGGATGCGCGGGTGGGAGGGGTCAGGCCTTCGGGGCCTGGCATGTGCACCTGTGGCCTCCGTTCTGAGCACCCCACCGGGCTCTTTGCCTTTGCAGTTTTAAGCGCATCCTGGTCCTCGTGTCCCACTCCCAGGACTTCCTGAACGGCGTCTGCACCAACATTATCCACATGCACAACAGGAAACTCAAGTACTACACGGTGAGTGGGGCCCAGCACGGGGACCTTGGCACCGAAGTTCTTTAAAACACCCGAGATTGGCCCTCCCTTGTGGCGCAGCGGGTTAAAGCCCAGCACTGAGAAGCTTAAGCCACTTCCACATGAGTTCGATCCCCGCCTGCCCCGGAGGTGACCACATGGCGCGGCAGACCTCTCCTGACCCGCCCGCTGCTCCCCTCAGCAGTGGACTTCGTTGATCTGCCTGTTCTGCTCCCCACTCTGTCTCTGGTGAAGCCTCTCACTGCCCCTGAGCCTCTGGCCTGTACCCCAGTTCTATATGAATAAATAAATCTTTAAAAAAAAAAAAAAAAAAACACCCGAGACACAGCAGGCTTCCGCCACTGCTATGAAAAGGCGCGGGCCAGGCATCCTGCGGCCCTTACTGCAGGCCCGACTACTTGCTTCCGGGCCTGAGGCCTGGGGCTGGCAGCTGTGCTGCGGGCATGTTTGTTAGGACCAGGGCGTGACTTCCCTGGCGCCCGCAACCGCCACCCTCCACTGTCCTGAGTGGTCGCGCAGCTCTTCCACGTGACAGCAGCACGCCCGTCCTGTCTGAAGGTTGGCAGAAGGGACCGCCCCAGCCTGGGCCGCTTGCCTTTGCATTTCGGGGCTTCAAAAAATAGAGCAAACGAAGGAAGGAAGACCTCTCGGTTCACAGTTCCACTGGTCTCAGGCCGGAGGAGTTTCTCACACGGCTTCTCACAGACTTGCTGGGCTCCTGAAAGCTATGTCATAGGAAAGTTCCTTCATATGTAGCCCGGTTTTCTTAACCATTCTCCTCCTAAACTGCATCTAACTTAATATAATGAGCTGCTTCTGTACGAGCGGATGTAAACGGCCCTGTTCTCTCCGGCGACAGTGAGTGTCACTGTTGGCTGCCCTGTAACACCCTTCCTGACGGGTGCAGGGAGCCTGGCGCGCTGCAGGTGACCGAGGTGTGGAGGGCTCGCCGTGGCCTCTGATGCGTGGGCTGCATGCCACTCCTGGGGGGCAGCTCTGGGAGTCTGCACGGGCCCGCATCTCCATGGTGGGGAGCAGTAGCAACCTGCGTGCGCAGGGCTGCTCCGAGTCCCATGGGTGTCTTCACGGCTTGGCAGAGTGCCTGGGCTGGAGCCCTGGGCCGGCTCAGCTGAGAGACACTGGCTGAGAGCGCAGACCTAGGTTAGACCAGCTAGCGCACAGCCTCTTCCCCCGCTGCCGCACTCTGCTGTCACCCGTGACAGCTGGGGCCAGGCTGGGGGCCACCCACACCCCGAAGCCAGGAGCCCAGGAACATGGCTAAAGCTGGCGCCTTCCCGGCACATCTCCCCACAGGGTAATTACGACCAGTACGTGAAGACCCGGCTGGAGCTGGAGGAAAACCAGATGAAGCGGTTTCACTGGGAGCAAGACCAGATCGCACACATGAAGGTGAGTGCGGAGGGCCACGTTCACGCTCTCCGGGGGAGCCGGAGGGGCATTGGGAGCTTGGGGCACTGCGGGGGTCAGGAAGAGCGAGCAGGGCTTGCCCTGGCGTCAGTGAGTGTGCGCACCTTCCCCGAGCCCAGCCCTTTAATGGTCTCTTCCAGAACTACATTGCCAGGTTTGGTCATGGCAGTGCCAAGCTGGCCCGGCAAGCCCAGAGCAAGGAGAAGACACTCCAGAAAATGATGGCATCGGGACTGACAGAGAGGGTCGTGAGCGACAAGGTGGGGTCTGGCGGACGGGGGAGGGGCTGCGGTGCGGAGGTGCTCCCGAGCACTCACGCGCCCCTCTTCCTAGACGCTGGCGTTTTATTTCCCACCGTGTGGCAAGATCCCGCCTCCTGTCATTATGGTGCAGAATGTGAGCTTCAAGTACTCAGAGGATGGGGTGAGTGTCTGCTTGGGAGGCCGGCCCGGCGCACAAGGTGAGCGTTGGTGGGCGGGAGTCCCCCTCCGAGGAGCGTGCCCCCCCGCGGGTGGGTGTCTGCCGGAGCCTTCCTCCCCACACCCACCCTGCGGGTGGCTGGGCCGCAGGGCATGGGCGCCCAGCCTCGTGCTCTGTCTCCCCCCAGCCTTGCATCTACAACAACCTAGAGTTTGGCATCGACCTGGACACACGAGTGGCTCTGGTGGGGCCCAACGGAGCCGGGAAGTCGACGCTCCTGAAGCTGCTGACCGGAGAGGTGGGCGGTCAGGCCGGGCAGGGCCTGACACGCCGCCAGGCAGCTCTGAGGGGCCGAGGTGCTGAGGAAGGAACTGACCGTGCCTCCCATAGCAGCACAGGCCGGGGCTGTTTCCTCGAGGGAGGC